AACCTTGATCCAAAACACAGCTCGTCGTAGTCTAATTTTAGGCCTAACCATTTTATCTTTTTACAGAGGTTAAAAAAGAAAACTATAGATCACTTGTAAAGTAAAACTGAGATAACTCTATCAATGGGAGTTGGTATTCTTTATCAAGGAGGAAACAAATCACGCTCACACTGCCCAGAATATTCCCATTAAAATTAAGATACAAGAATGTGTACAACCTCATATCAAGTGACAATGCAATTACTTTTCAAACTTCAGTTGAATAACTTCATCTTTAAAGAATTAGTCAAAAGGTTGAGCCCACAGAGGAATCTGTGAGAACGTTGTGTGTGTGTGTGTGTGTGTGTGTGTTGTTCTAAAGAAAGCCAAACATGGTTAAAAGGCAATCTTCACCTAAATTACCAAAGAAGCAAAGAAGCAAATATTCACCTCCTGGCTGAAGATCAAACAGGAATCACAAGAAGATCCGAAAGTTCTGTTCTTAAGCAGAAGCTCTCAAACCCCCGGAAAACTATGTTTTTACGAATGAGGAATATAGAAGAGATTACAGATTACAGTTTAGAAAGAGTAAAGGTGCTCGAGACAATATATGCCTGAGTAATGAAACCGGGATGAACAGAGAGGGTAGTAAGGAGGGGCTGGGACTCAGTAAGAGAGTAAAAATCAAGGAATAAAACTTGAGACATCTGGTCAAACACTAAAGTAAATGGAGGAAAGGAAGAGGTTGAAACGCGAGAGAAAGGAGAAAGGGCAGAGCCCGTGGCTCGACACAGTTCAGGGCAGGGCTGGGTCCAAGAAGAGTTAGCCCTCACCTGCCCGGCAAGCTTCCCATTTCGAGCTAAAGCCGGAGATGAAAACAGCCCTAGGGAGTAGACAATGAGCCACCGCCCCAGGAGCCGCGGCTGCAGGCACACAGGTGGTGGCTGCCCCGGCCCGGCGCGCGGCAGGTCTGCTGCCCCGGGCCGCTCGCGCCTGCCAGGCCGCAGAGAAGGAAGAAGGAAGGGGAGCGACTGCCCGCGTCCTGGCCCGTCCGCACACTTACCCCAGGCGAGGAAAGGTCCCCGCCCCAGCGAGGCGCCTCCGACCGAGCTCCCGGCAGGCTCCGGAGCCGCCCCGGGCAAGCGCGCGACTCAGGGCGGGGAGGGGACGGAAGGGGAAGCGGGACAGGAAGAGGAGCCGCGCAATAGCACAGTCGCTGCTACCGCTAGGCCGAGCAGCACCCGAGCCCTGCGGGCGCCGGGAGGGGAGGGCAGGGAGCCTTCGGCAATGGCGACGGCCGGGGCCAGAGGGGAAGCGGAACAACCGCCGCCGCTGCGCGTGGCCACAACCCTAGGGGCGGGCAACGACGGGGAGCGGGGAGGGGCGGAGCCAAGACCCCTCCCCTCCCGGTCCCAAGCCTGGAGCTCCACGGGGCGGAGAACGGCACCGCTTCCCAATGGGCGGGCTCGCGTGGGGGTTCCTGGGAGTTGTAGTTTAGAGATGTGTGCTGCTTCCCTCTCCCTTTCTCTGGGTATTCTTTATATTGAGACAGCAGTCCTTCATTTAACTCAGCATTGTCTCCAGTCAGGTCTGTACCGATCGAAGATGCTGACAGACAATTGCTGTTATATGAATCTGCTATATGTTTCTGGGAATTCATTATCTATTTTGCTATTTACCTACAAACTTACTATATTTTGCAACTAAATTTAGTCCCACTTCTTTGCAAATTAAAGCGTGTTTTATCTTTGGAGGAGTTATCAACATATTCACTCATCCTACAAATATATGAGTTAGTCTAATATGTACCAGAGACTGTTAAAGTATTCAGAGATACAAAGGTGAACATGAGTCACTTTGCCTTTGTGGAGCTTACAAATATTAAAACACAATAATTAAAATAATGCTATCTAGTATGAGGGAAAAACTGGGGAGGTTACTTTGGAGAGGGTGACTAGAGAGGCATCTTTAAGGAGGTAACATTTAAGCTGAGAACAGAAAGAGCGAGCCACGAGAAGCACCCAGGAGAAAGCACTACAAACAGAAAGAGGACAGAAGGGCTTGCTAAAGTCAGTTAAGGAGGCCTTAAAAAAAAAAAAAAGAAAAAGAAGGCCTGTGTGGCTGGAGCTTAGGGCATTAGAGTAATTAAAACATTAGAGTAAATAAGATTCAAGTCAAGAGGATCTTGAATGCCATGGTAAGGAGTTTGGACTTTATTCCAAGAGGCTATTAAATAGTTTTAAGCAGGTAAGTGATGTTATCTGGTTTACACTTTAAAATCACTAGACTGCTATGTGGAAAATGGAGTATAGAGATACAAGAACAGAACTAGGGAGGCAGTAATTATGACTGTCTCTAGGGAGAAAGGTAGTCAGATTGTGCTTATCTATAGAAGTAAAGCAAAACTTAATTGACATGGAGTACAAGAGAAAGTAATCAAGAAGCAATATGACACTATTAGATAACCTGAAAAAGTCTTCATTATTAAACATATGGAAATTCTGGATAAAAAAGAACATTTTTTCAAAGGCATAACTAAGCTTTCAAGAAAGAGAGAGGAATGCCTCTGATGTCTTTCAAAGTCCACACTCAACCCAAAGTGGAAGCAAGAAACCAGAGTGGTAATCAGGACAATGAAGCCATGGTGGTGTTGAGGATATCTACTTATCTCAGAAATCTCTATGGTTTTACTGGTTGCACAGGAGAGAGGAGATCAAAGACAAAGCCTTAGCCTATATATGGAGTTAGGACTGTGATCCTGCATAAGGCTGGGAAACTTGAAGGGCTACACCATCCAAGAAGAGAATGGAGAGAAAAAAAAAACACCTCCCTATAGAAACACCAACCCAAGGAAACAAGCAGACATTTCTGTTTTAGCCTAGATTTGGCATGAAGGGGAAAAAATTTTCCCTTTATAATTCATAACCACAGTTTCCTTTACATGGGTTTTAAAGTTCAAATTTATAGTTCCCACAATGTCCAGGAAATCTCTGAAAAGGAACCAAATAGAACTTCAAGAAATAAAAAATATAATAATTGAAACCAAAGTCAATGTTTGGGATAAACAGCAGATTACATACAGTTGAAGAGAGAATTAGTAAACTGGAATACAGAACTAAAGAAATTACTGAGAGCGGCCCAAAGAGGAAATATGGAAGATAAAGAGACATGGGGATAGATTGTGAAGGGCTGCCATAGGCTTAATGAGAACTCCAGGAGAGAGGAGAAAGAAAAAAAAAGGAGGCACTGTAAGATACTGCTAAGAATTTTCCAAAATTGATTAAATACAAGAGCATTCAGACTCAGGAAACAAAGCAAGTCCCAATCAGGACAAGTAAAAGAAATCTCAAAGTAAAACTGCAGAATACCAAAAATAAAATGACCAGAAAAAAAACATAAAAACATATAAACAACTATTAAGTCTACTACAGATCTCTCAATTGCAACAATGGGTGCCAGTTGATAATGGAAAAATATTTTCAAAGTACCAAGAGAAAATAACCAAACTTAGAAATGTACACATAGCTAAATTATCAGTCATATGAGTGAGGGTGAAATAAAAATATCATCAAACAAAAACAAAGATGTTACCAATGACAGAGACCTACTAAAGAAACTACTTAAAAAGATATACTTCAGGAAGAAAGTAGTTTCATTAGTAAGGTGAGATGCAAGAAATCAAGCAGATAGCTAAATCTACCATCCTATCACTGTTTAGGACAATCCTGAAGAGCATACTTAGTCTATATTATTTCATTCTCTCACAGCCTACCAAATCTTACAGTCAACTTCCTGCCAATAGCATATTTTGTAAGTTTGAAGGATGATACAGATAGGTGTTGGTCACCTCACTCTAATTTATCTCCATATCATATCAATCAGCATCAATTACCAAAATATAGATGAGTACTTTGAAATGAACAGAATACATCTGACTAGGATAATCCTTAAGCTCATTATATTCTGAAAAAATTAAAGCTGCAATAGGTTTTTCCACTTCCCAAGTATGTATGTATGTACCATCCTCTGTGAAATCTAGCTAAAATGTCTAAGTTCCTGGTAGAGTGAAACTAACTCTCTCTCTCTCTCTTTCTCTCTCTCTCTCTCTTTCAGGTCTCATCACACACACACACAAACACACACACACACACACACACACACACACCCTCTGTCCCCCACAACCCTTAGCTGAGGTAACTTGCATCTCTGTTCTTTTCATCCAAAAGAATATAACACAATACTTTAAGAAAAAGATCATAGAATACTGGAACACAATAACCAAGAGAACCAAGACCATGCACAGAATTACAAAACTGATTTTAAAAAAATAAAGTGCTTAGTCATTTTTTAAGTCCAAAGAAGATAATATAAAGAGTTCAAAATCAGAATTGTTCTGTTCTATCAAAAGTGATGTCATTTGTAATCATTTATCAGGCAAGAATGATCATATCAAAATATTCTTCACTCACATTCACAATATTTTACCCTACTGAATACCTGTATAAATGAGTAAATGGCTGAATCATGTTCTGAGCCACAATCTCAAATATTGCCTTGAAAACTTGTTTAAACATTGATGAAATTGGTTCTGATGTGCAAAAGAAAATAAAGATTCCCTCTCCCCTCCCTCCCTCTCTCTATCTCTATCTCTCTCTCTCTCTCTCTCTCTCTCTCTCTCTCTCTCTCTCTCTCTCTCTCTCTCAGTGGTTAAATAGTACCATGTTAACCCCACCTGTCTAACCAAGTTCTAAAATGTTGTCTGTTGATTTTACTGAATCTTAACTGACACATAATTCTATTTAGATGCCATTATATTATTCTATTGTGACAGAAATGCTTGTAAAACATGGAATTCTTTCTTGTAGAAATCACTAAAGATATAAAACTAGATTGGGTTGAAATTTTAGTTATTTTAGAGATGTCTAGTATTTCTGCTTTATGGCATTGGTAGCCTCTTTCAATATTTAAGTTCTCAAACACATCTTCAAAAAGAACTGTTATGACTAATCAAGCCATATATGTCAAGTTATAAAAGGTTTATTCCCATAAAAACACCAGAATGTTTTAGGAAATTAAGCAGTGATAACATATATAAACATATATCACATCCCATTACTCTATTTAAAACAATTGCATTGCAACATACCCTGGATTTTTAGCTTCTGTTTTGGAACATGCCTGGTCCAAATAAATTGCCCTGAACAAATATAATGGTAAATTTGCCTTTTTATTTTTTAATTACCTTATGGCACTTATTTTATTTTCTACTTTTTTTCCAAAGAACAACAGTAAATCAAGAACTTTTGTTTACGAAGATTTTTTTGTAAATGGCCAACTTAATATACTCTTTAAAATGACAATCTGAATTGTCTTCCTGACAAATTAAGTATGAAATCAGAACTAAATATTAGTATTAGTGTTTCATCAAGCTCTTTGTTAATTCATAGATTCAAAAGCAGTATAAAATATAGGAGAATGGAAATGTTTTAAGAAATAATCAATTTTCATATTAATAATTTCTTACTGTTCTACTTTAATGATTTTCTTTGACACTCTGCATAAATAACTTCAATGTTCTCATAAAATTAACATTTAAGTCAACTCTGATTCATTCAAATTATTTTTATTTATAATGATTTTCTCAATGTTTAGCTTAAATATAAATGTTTCTTTCACCAAATGAGAGTAATTTGTCTCTAATACATAAAAAACTCATTTTTCTAACCCAAATGGAGATATCACAAAATAAATAGTAATTTAACAGAATTAAGTTTCCTCTTGTCACTTGATGCTTGAGGATTATCAAAGGCCTACACAACAGAGCACTAAATTTTGGAATTAGCTGAGAATGGCCCAAAATTTCCTCTAGTAAACATAATTTTAGCTAAAAATGAAGACAAAAGACAAAAGTAGTGATATAATTCTAGAAGAACACTTCTAGTCACAAATGAATAGGTCTTATTTAGACTTATAAGCAGCATTTAACTGCATAAAACTTATAGGGAGAAATGGCCATATTTGAAAACAGCAACGAGGATCAAAGTAGAACACAGGATGGTAATAAGCAAAGTCACAGAACATACTAAAGAGGTATGTATAGTTAGTCCCACTGGAACCTGCAGAGTCACATTCTTATATACCTATGGAGAGAGATCGATAGAGAAGTTAGAGACATTGAAAATGAATGTCCTAAGTGATACCACTATTTATTTTTAATTTTTTTCTTTTAAATATCTTTCAGCCAATGCTACACTACATGTAACAGGTTTGAATGATTCTTTTGGATGCAACGTTTAATGTAAACAAATCAAAATCAAGTCCTATAATAATTCTGAAATTCTAATTACTTTTGACTTTTCTATCTCTTACATTGAGTTGAGCATATTCTTTAAAAAAAAATGTTGGCTATATGCCAATAAACATTTACTTCCTCTATGTTTCATATTAGAATACAGAATTCTAAGTTGAAACCATAAAAAACATTAAAACAGCACTAAAACTAAAATATTTGTTTGTTTTGCTGTTTCCCCCAAACAGCTATTTAAAGTTTGTTTGTTCACAAATTTCAAAACTGAATGTATCCTTTACTGTTAACATCAACTTACTAGTGATACTGATTAGCAATAATAAAATTCTCCTATATTCAACTTAGTTTTTATTTTCTATCTGGTTTTGAAGATAAAGAGTTCAATTAGAAACTCTGGGAAATTTCATGGTTTAAAAATAGGTTTTAAAAACATTAAAATTAGGTAACTTGGGATTTTTTTTTCATTTTTTTGTCTATTGAAATATAATAGACAATTAGTTGCTTGTATTTACATTGTACAATTCAATGAGTTTTTATCCACTTACAGTTGGCATACAATAATATACCAGATTCAGCTGTATAGCATAGTGATCAGGAATCCACATAACTCGCAGAGTGATCACCCCATTAAATCTAGTACCCTGCTTCCCCCTTACATATTTATTACATTGTTAACCATCTTCCCCATGCTACACTCTACATCTTCATGTCTATTTTGCAACTATCCATTTGTACCTCTTAATCTCTTTGCTTTTTTTTTGCCGTCCACCAATGCCCCTCCTATCTAGTAGCCCTCTAAATATTCTCTGTATCTATGAGTTTATTTCCTTCTGTTGTTGTTGTTGTTGATTTTGTTCTTTAGATTCTACATGTACCTGAAATGATGCGATATTTGTCTTTCTCTATCCGACCCATTTCATTCAGTACAGTACCTTCTAGGTCCATCAAAGCAATATCTTTTTTCATCCCCTTCCTTTTAGTCTGTGTGTGTCTTTTAATCTGAAATGAGTCTTTTGTAGGCAGCATACGTAGGAGTCTTTTTTTATCCATTTAGCCACTCTTTCTTTTGGTTGAAGCATTTAATTCTTTTCCATTTGAGGTACTTGTTGATAGGAATGTAGTCATTACCATTCTTTATTCCTGTTTTTGACACATGCCTTTCCTTCTTAAAAAAGTCCCTCCAACATTTCCTGTAATATTGGCTTGGTAATGATAAATTCCTTTAGCTTATTTTTGTCTGGGAAGCTCTTTATCTGTCCTTTGACTCTGAATAATAGCTTTATGGATAAAGTATTCTCGGTTGTAGATCCTGGGTCTTTATCACGTCGAATATTTTTTCCCAAGCCCTTCTGTCCTGCATAGTAGTACCTTTTGAGAAATCAGTTGTGTCTTACAGTAGTACCTTTTGAGAAATCAGTTGTGTCTCCCTTATAGGTAACTGATTTTTTCTTGCTGCTTTAAGATTCTTTGTATGTAACCTTTGGAATATTAATAATGATGAGTCTTGGTGGGGCCTCATTGGATTCTTGGTTTCAGGGATTCTCTGAGCTTCCTGGGGTTGTATGTCTATTTCCTTTACCAGATTAAGGAAGTTTTCCATCATTATTTCTTCAAATATATATTCAACATGTTGTTCTCCTTCTTCAGTTACCCTTATGACACAGATATTTTTACCTTTAATAGGGTCCCATAGGCTCCTTAAATTACTTTTATAAATGCCTTAGCATCTGATCTCTTGCCATTCTGATTGTGTGTCCCTGGCTTTCCCATCATCCAAATAGGGCATTTGATCCTTTTCTTTATTCACTTTGTTTATTCCGTTTAATATATTTCTCATCTCAGATAATGTGTTCTTCATTTCAGACTGGTTCCCTTTCGTAATTTACATTTTTGTTTTTTATCTCTTTGTTGAAGTTCTCACTGAATTTATCTACACTTCCCCAAAGTTCATTGAGCATCTTTATAACCAGTGTTTTGAACTCTGCATCTGTTACATTGCTTGACTCTATTATATCTGGATCTCTGTTCTGTTCTCTCATATGGTTCTGCTTCTTTGTCTTCCCATTTTGGCTGCCTTTCTGTGTCTGTTTCTATGTACTACACAAAGCTCCTAAGTCTCCCAGTCTTATTAGTGTGGCTTTGTGAAGTAGATGTCCAGTGGCACGGTCCTGAGAGGAGTTTAGCTGCAGGCCAAATTTAGGCCAAGCCTGTGCCCCTCTGGGGCCACCTGTTAAGATTCAGCAAGCAATCCACAGATGCTGTGCTTACAGTTGCCTCAAAAGGCCACACCATAAACCAAGGCAAGCTGCCTGCAGTGTGAGTCTAGGCGCTGTTCAGCAAGGAGCACCTGACTTGCTGAGGATATACTTGGATGTGGCTTGGGTGGGACCACAAGTTGGGGGAGGTGGGATTTCAGGGGAATCCTCTGGGCAGAGCAACCTCTGTTATCCTGTTTGATGACATTTGGGCTATGGCAGCACTGAGTCTGCACACTGGGAGGGAGTCAGGCTCAACAGAAGAATAATGGATACCGCTGGCACTTCTGTACAAAGCAAGTCTCGCCTCGGCCCTCACTCTGACAACTCAATGTCTCCCTGTAGGTCCCTGGTGCCCCCTGTGCACAGCACTGGTGCTGAGAGCGAGCAGGTCCGTCATTGCAAAAGTCTGCTTGTGAGTATGGCCCCTTTAAGAGGCATCTGCCACTGCCACAGACACTCGGGACCCAGCAGCCTCACATCCTCGTCCCATCCTACCTTCTGCCATTGCAGGGTGATTTCTTAGTTCTCTCCCTAGTTGTATGCCTTGTTCATCTAGATCCCAGGCGATTTTTCCTTGCTATTTGCTCCTTGTTTCCGTCACAACTTTGATTTGGTCGCCAGAGGAATGAACAGAGCCTCTATCAACTACGCCATATTTTTTCCTCTTGAACTTGAGAATTTTTATTTTTGGTGTCCTTTTATAAATATCTAGATTATAATTTCACATCCCCCCAAAAAACATATTACCAACACAATCTGTAATAAAGGGGTATTTGAAAATTATCTTTCAAAAATTGGCATCTTAAACAATCTCTGGTATAGATCACCACCTTAGCAATGGTCACCTATTTTTCTGGTATATATAAACAAGATATATAACACAAAGGAAAAAGAATAAAACTGCTTAATTACGACCTCCCTTTTTAAGTTACATGGTCTTAAAGAGAACTGAATTCAAAATGTTTTAATAAAATATTTATTTTGTAGCAATGCACACTATCAATTTTTATAACCAATAAATCATAAACACTAACCATACTCTTCACTTACATAAGAAAATCAAATGCAATTCTCCATATGTATTTTAGAGTTTGGAAAAGAATTCAGATACCATATATGTGATATTATGATTTATAATAATACATATTTGGTTTTCATTCACCTTTCTGGATCTTGGCTTCCAAAATCCTTGGAATTTCCTAAGTGTTGACTGTGAGCCAGATATCTTTTGTTATCTTGATGAAGTGATTTTGGAAAGCACCTAAGGATGAGGGCTGGTTGCAAATGGAGCCAAACATGTAATTAGAGGGTCAGAACTTTCATTCCCACCTCCTGACCTTCAGAGAGAGAAGAGGGGCTAGCGGCATTGTACAGAGACCACTCCCAAGAGAGGAAAGAAGTAGACTATGTTAACTATAAGAGGTAAGAAGAAAACAGTAGACTCCTTAGACAAAGCCAGTGTTAATGAAGTATTAATAGTTACCTAATAACAAAACAAGTTGGGAGGTCAAAAGTATAAAAATGGTCTTAAACAGCCTAGTTAGAGATATAATAGCAATAAAACTGTCTAAAAACTAGCACAGCTAAATTTTATTTTGCTTTTTTCACTTGTTTGGTGAAATATAATAAATTTTGTTGTTCAAAAATTAAAAATTTTTAAATAAAATAAAGTTTTAACTAGATGGACATACTAGTTTTTCTCTGCCATTCCACACCTTTAAAAAAGCATATCAGAGGGGAAAAAAATGGCGTAGATGATCCAGGCTCTGTTTTTCCCTCTGGCAACCAAATCAAAGTTGTGATGGAAGCAAGGAGCAGCAGCAAGGAAAAATCGTCAGGGATCTAGAGGAACAAGCAATACAACGGCAAAAGGTAGGACGCGGCACTGCTGGGTCTCGAGAAGCTGAGTGAGGCGGAGGCTATAGCAGTGGCGGATGCCTATTAAAGGGACCACATCAGAGAGCGGATTTTCGTGGTGAAGGACCTGCTCGCTCTAAGCACCAATGCCAATTTTGCTTGTGCGCAAGGGGCACCAGGGACTTACAGGGAGACATTGTCGGAGTGAGGGCCAAGGTGAGATTCGCTCTGTATAGAACTGCCAGCAGTACCCATTGTTCCCTGTTGAGCCCTCTCCACTATCTGCTCCACTGATAGCTCGGCCATAGCTGAGACTTCATCAAACTGGATAAGAGGTAGCTCCACCCTCTAAAACCCCGCCTCCCCCAACTCGCAGCCCCACCCAAGCCACATTCAGGTATATCCTCAGAAAGTCAGATGCGTGTTGCTGAGCAGCACCTAGACTCACACTGCAGGTAGCTGGCCTTGGTTTCTGGTTTCTTGGTTTGAGGCAACTGTAAGCACAGCATCTGTGGATTGCTTGCTGAATCTCAACAGGTGGCCCGGAGGGGTAGAGGTTTGGACTAAACTTGGCCTGCAGCTGAACCCCTCTCAGGACTGTGCCACTAGACACCTACTTCACAAAGCCACACTAATAAGACCGGGAGACTTAGGAGCTTTGTGTAGTACATAGAAACAGACACAGAAAGGCAGCCAAAACGGGAAGACAAAGAAGCAGAAACCATATGAGAGAACAGAACAGAGATCCAG